GAGGAGTTCAGTCATTCGGAGGTACAGAACCAGAACTACTGCTCCATAAGAAAAGGAGCCAGCTGAAGAGGTTCAGGCCTCTAACTGGGTCATCTGAGGAGGTGTTGTGCACATGGCCTACCAGGAGGAGACCCCTGTGCAGGCACAGGACAGACTCTTGACTAGCTTTGGAACATTTTGGTGTCTCGTAGATGAGCTGGAAGTGGCCTCATCATCTCATCCTATACCTTGTTTTTCTCATCTTTGTATGTAGCTTTGCACTGTCCACTTTCTGCTGTAACAAAACACACGTGTGACTAATAAATCTTAAATCCCAGAAAGAGCAAGAAACTGGGTGGATGGATGTCAAACACACAAGGAGTTTTAGCAGCACTCCCATAATGTGTCATGGGTCGCCACTTTAATATGTCCTAATGAATATTTCTGACTCCTAAACTCTCCAGACGTGTCATTTATGTCTAATCCTATTTTAAAATTATGCTTTTTAAAAAAGTGATATAGTCGTGATTATAATGTGAATAAAATATTATAAACATTCGATTACGTCTTCATCAGTGTTGTACATATATCAACTCTATCCCATTTTGAACACAATCATCTAAAGTTCATATGTTAAAAGTAATTAATGCATCATTTCTTAAAGCATAATCCCTAACTTCCTGTGAGGTGATTGTTTAAACACATTTATGAAATATCAGGTTAAAGCTAGAGAACGGCTGGATCTTCACTCCAGCGTTAACTCCTCCCTGTGAGTTTGTCTCCTCTACTCTCTGAGGTAATTGTTAGAACTTCCTTCGTCCTGTGTTTTTTCCAGACCACGCTCTGTGCCCTCTCCTCTCTTTCTGTGAGGAAACATCAGGGACCTATAAACCCTCCGCTGGAGTATTGATTCTTTATTGTGGTGTGGCTGTGAGGAGCACATACTGTGACCGTTTCTCTTCACTCCACAAAACAGGTCTGTGAGGAGGCCACCGGGAGACCGGCTGCAGCTGGATCAGCAGGTTAATTTGAGCTGCTTGTTTTACAATCTGACTGCGCTGCTTTGTCTCTGAGTGTTTAATACAGCAGCACATGTTTGTGTGCGCA